TTGCATTACTTGATGATGATTCAAGACCTTCGTCACTTATAATTTGATCATATTCTAACCTAAGATAATCTTGACACTTTAATATAGCACCCTCATACTCAAAGTTTTTGCATCTTGGATCAATTACTGTTGCGACAAATAATATTTTATTATTATCAAACTAATTATTATTCATGTAACCAATAAAATAAATAAATAAATAAATGATTAAATAAATAAATATTTGCCCTGGGTATAAACTTTTCGAATCTATATGGATAAATATATATTACAAAGCTATTTTTTTTGTTATTTTTTTTTTTTTAAAAAAAAAAGGCTTTGCAGCAGCATTATTTGAATTCAGAAAATTTTTAGGTTCTAAAAAAATTGATTATACATATCAACTATGTTAATCAATTATGGCAATTTGATGTCATATCATTTTGCTATCACTATATCAATATACCCAAGGACGCTTTTCAATATCAACTATGTTGATTAATGATGGCAATTTGATGTCATATCATTTTGCTATCACTATATCAATATACCCAAGGACACTTTTTAATAAATGTTAAAAAATTTACCTTATAATACCTTTCAAATAATTTAAATATTATGTTTTTAATAAGTTCAATCAAATAGGCAGTTGTAGCTAGTGATTTTATTTGTTCTAATTCTTCATTTTCATCCAATACCTCCTCAAGGTCAAACATGCTAATATTATCCATTGTATCAAAATCTACTTTATCTGTATCGTAAATACTAAGATCTTCATCTACATATTCTTTTGATAAAGCATTATGAAGAGTACTTATAGTCGGGTAAATAATGCTCATTGTTGAATATAAACTACCTAAAATATAGTTTGTTATATCATTAAATGGTTTTAAAACTTTAATAATACCAGTGACTACAGTCCACTCATCCTCCATAATCATAATTGATTTTAACCGTTTCTATCTTCGATTGCATTCCTCTTTAACTAAACAGTAAGAGAACTTGCGAGTATTTCAATATAGAGCTTGAGCTCAAGCATATAAACCCATATATTGTAGGTGGAGTTCAATCTAGTTACAACATCACTTTGAGCTCGCAAAATGATATTCTCTTTATTCTGTATATAAACCCACGCATTGTAGGTGGAGTTCCATCTAGTTACAACATCACTTTGAGCTCGCAAAATGATATTCTCTTTATTCTGCATATAAATTAAATTTATCATTAATATAGAATTATAATATATTATAAAGCGAATAGTCAGT